GTTGTTTTTATAAATCACACTGGGCCTTCCTATGGTTTTTGGCAGCTCCCTAAATGTACATACACAGCCTTGACATCTAGTATCTCCCAGTAAAAGGAGTATGTACCCGGTCAACAAGAATCCAGGTAGATCTCCCACAAAGCAAGTCCAACCCTTTAACATCACCTGGGGCTTTGAAGTTGTTCTCATGCAGGACTCATGTTTTATGACATATAATACCTATGATAGTCCCTATACTTGAGAAATAAGAAGAATGTATTTGGCCAGCAAAGGGGAAGAGGGGCAAAGAGATATTATTACACTATATTTTTATTATTATATCTATGGATAATTAAAAAGTTTTCTTAAAAAAATCACCTGGGGCTGTTGGAGTGTGGTTTTTAATTTAGTTGAATTTCATTTTGTTTTGTTTAGAAGGAAGAAATTCCGAGCATTCATGCGATATTTTACTACGTGGGGAACCTGAGGTTCACTTGCAGCCTTCATCCATTAAATTAGGGTAGAAATTAAACTACAAATGACTTTGACTGTGACAACAGAGTGAGACCAGTAGCCAAACTAGGACTGTTTCCAGGCCAACCCTTGATGAATCATGGTGTTTTATTCCCTGTTGAGAATTCCACAGAGGTGACAGAAATGGCCTCAGAAAGACACATAGTCCCAAAAGTATGCATGTTACTGGAACATGTTGGCAGTCTCTTTAACTCCAGAAACAAGAGGAAGCTCTTTGTGGGATCAATGGTCTTAAATTGCTTTAATGTCTTTTGAAAAAGAAAAGCCTGTATCCCAAACATAGCTTTATGTACAACTTGTATTTGTAAACATGTGCAAATATGTTCATAGTAAAACACTTAAATTTAGAAAAATCCCAAAAAGTTGAGATGAAAATAAATGTTGGATCAAATATTCCTACTCTCAATGTCCTGCAGGCATACCCAACTTTAAATATTCTCTCATTGGGGCTTATAGTTACAAGACCTGAAAATAAATATGAGAAATATACCCTAAACCCTACATCAAAATGAACCTACATTCTGTGACAGAAGAACTATGCTTAGGTAAGAAATCATCCTTGTAATGACTTCTCAGGGAGCGTCCTCTGTTCAAGCTTCAGCACAGCCCCTCTGCCTGGCCTTAGCTGTCAGGTACGGCCATACTGTCTCCCAGTCACTGTGCTAGTCTCTGTCACAGAGAGCTCAAGGCCTGAGCAGAGAGGCACTGCAGAGGGAGAATGGTTCGGGAAACAGACCACTGAATTCAAATTCACTCCCTGCCTCATGTTAAGTTCCATAAAACATTTATGTGTCTGGGTCTCAAATTTCTTAACACTTAAATGAGAATAAAAATATGCACCTGTTATACAGTTAAAAACTCAAGGATAATATTGATGGTGGTTAAAGGGTTAGGTTGCAAAATGCTAAGTTGTAAACTGTAAGATGAAATTAAAAAAAGTTCCCTACTTATCACCTTTTAAAAAACTGAAAGGTAGTTATTACAAAAGAGGGTATACGCTCTACAAATGAAACTTTTTTCACCTGTCTCAGCCTCTCTGCTAAATGCAGCTTATTCCCCTACATTGCAAGGCCTGGTCCTGCATCTCCTCTTAGCACAGCCCAATGTGATGTAGCTGACAGATGTTCCCTCCTCTGTAGACAGCTATAATGTATGCATATAGGAGGGATATATATATATATATATATATATATATATATATATATATCCCAGAGTGACAGCAAGCAGGACAGCCCTGCAGGCCTCTGGGAGACAGGGGTCTCCTGAGGTCACAGCAGCCTCTCCTGAGTCTGGAGGCCCAGATATTCCTGTTTCCAGGCATAGCAGCAGGAGGCCTGAGCACCTGCTAACTAGTGGTGAGTGGGTCTAAGATGGATGCTCTGAAAGCTCACAGCCCTGCAACTCAGTCTGAAGTCCTTCGTGTCCAGGAAGCCAGAGCCATCCTTCATGGATTAAGTCATGGAAGATGATTTACACAAATATTGTTTTAAAGCATCAAAATTTATTGCTGTACATGTCCTCATAGCATTCACTATGGAAATAGTGCAAATACTTATTTTGAACACTATAGCATTTGAAAGGTCACAAAGCTTCTGCTATCTTTTGCAATCATTTATGAAGGTCTATATTAAACTTGTATATTATTAAAATTTAAACAATATTACATTCAAAGAGATTATATAATGCTTTCTAGAGGAAAAAAAATCCTGGAAGCCATCGGACACTCTCTGTGTTGATAAAATGTGTTTTCTAACTGCACGAGTCTTTCTGCGCTCACTAATTCATTCAACAAACACTTACTGACAAAGCACATTCCAGGCACTGCTCAAGACCCCTGAGGGCTTGAAGATGGAAAGACACCAGCTCAGCTTTTACGTTGATTACAGTGTAATACTAGAGACAGACATGCAAAACATTTTTTTTACAAGACAGTAAGTTGCATCCACGGAGATATTTACAAAAGACAGTGTGAAACTGCAATGGAAAGGGCATCTGCCTGGAGAAATCAGGGCAACACCGTGGACGAGGTAGCCACTGAGCTGACACCCATGACAAGGAGCTCACCACGCGGACAGGCAGGCAAAGGGGACAACAGGTGCACAGACACCGGGGCCCAGAGGAACTTCAAAGGAGCCAATGGTGTGGCTTTTCTCAAAGTGAAAGGTAACAGGATCGTAGCAGGGCAAGACTACCACTTATGAGATCATGAAGAGTCTTTTGACTATTTTTCCCTCCTCCTCCCCCCTCCCCTTTTTGAAACAGGAATGAGTGCTTACTACATGTCTGAAGACGTGCCACAGGCTAGGTGCTGTGCCGGGGCTGTACCCGGAAACCGCCTTGCTCTCACCGAGCTTACATTCTACTCAAGAGACAAAGAATCAACAAATCAAATACAGATCTCTACAAAGGAACAGGTACTGAAAGTAAAGCCACACCAACAGGACGATGTACAAGTACCTCTTGAAAGCAACAAAGATGGCGGCGGCTACAGCATTGAGCCACTAAGTGCCTGGAACTGTACTGAATACCTTGCAAACAACATCTCATGGAATCCTCACAACTCTATGAGGTAGGTATTGTTACTCCTGTTTCACGGAGGAGGAATAAACTCAAGGAGACTGCGGGCCCTGACAAGCCACCAATGCCAATACTAGGATGAGACACACAGGCTCTCTGGCTGCAAAACTCACGTTCTGACATTTGAGGCTGTACTTAAAGGCATCTGGGGAATTCCAAGCAGGGAAGGGTCTGACCACCGCTGCTTCTTTGGAGAAAAAAGCAGGGTTTAGAAGAAGGAGAAGGGACAGGGAACAGGGCTGAGAAAAAGAAAGCTATTCCAGAGTCCAAAGGGAGAAAAGAAGGGTCCTGTGAACTTAGAGGCCGCGGAAAGAAAGGTCTGAGGGGTTATCGCAGCACTTCTAACAGGACTGACTCACTGATGCTACAAGCATGGGAATGAGCCATATCCGGCATCATTTCTGCATTTCTGCGTGTCCAGCTGAAGTCAACTCTGACCCAAGTAGAGGAATCCAAGATGATGGTGGGTATGTGGTGATATAAGATGAATTTGATTTTGGACATGACCTGTGGGTATACTGGGAACAGCCTCAAACGATGGTCACTAAGTGCCCACGTTCTGATGGCTTTCACACCTTGTTTTCTACCTGAGCAAAGTATACAAAGACTGCTAAAGCTTTGTAGTATGTACATGGACAGTTTGCTTTCAAAAGATGTGTGTACAGAAGTTTGTAAAACGGTTTGGATTGTGCTTTAAAAAGAACAGAGACATCCATAGTTACCATTGATGCTACCCAAAGCTGGGCTCTGGATAGAAGGAGGACAACTTTTGGGAAGCTGTTCTAACGGCACACTAGCTCTTTAAGTGATAGTAATGTTCACTCTGACACACTCAGCCTGAGTCACTCTGATGGGCCCCTAGCAGGGATCCTCTGACAGCAATCCTCCAGAGCAGGCAGAGCTGCCCACTCATCCACCAGCAGGGATGTTTGCATGAAACTGGGGGCCTAAGAATCTAATCAGATCAGAAATTCCAAACTTTTACAGTTTGGCAATATAATTCCAAAGCCTCCTGATCTTTGAGGATCCTGCACTCCCTCTGTCCCTGGGAATGAGAAGGGGCTGGAGGTCCTGGGGATAAAGACACTGGTGGCAAGGACACAGGTAGTTACAACTTTAACCACATTACTTTGGGCCTAATTTTATTTTGTTCCTTTTTTGGTGCTGAGATCTGAACGCAGGGACTCAAGCATGCTTAGCATGTGTGCTCATTTCAAATGAACATACACACAGCACAGGTCCAGCATATAGACACATAAACTGTACCCATAGGCAACATTATTTTGGCTCCATTTTTCATAATTTAATTTCTTTATAGCCATTCCTTCTTGTCTTTGGCTCTGATCAATTTAAATGTCTTCATTTAAAAATTCATTGAATAATTCAATGGCAGTTTTAGTAAATAAATATTAAGCAATTTAAGTGGTCAGAGATCTTAGGGCTTCCAGCAGGTGAAAAGCTGCTGGTTAGGAAAGAATCACACTCTAGTTCATGAAGCTGTGTCTTAGAGACTGCCTCTCAGGGTGGCAAAGGATCTGGTGTGCTCTACTGACTGAGTCAGCTCATGGTCACTAGAAAGGAAGAACATTCTAGTCAAAACAAGTGGAGCTTTGGACAATACCTACAAGGGGCCTTGTAAACTTAACTCATGTCACATGAGAGCCTTCTGTGTAACACTATCCAAAGTACTATTCATGGGTAAGATAGGAAAGCTGTATGCTAGAAGCCAATGTGAAGTGTCTGGTGAAACCACAGTCCTCACACAGAGAAGCCTATGGGCACACTGGAATATGCCAGCTACTTCCTATCACCTCCAATTCCACACTAAGGGCCAAGGTCAAAGTTGAGCGTGTATGAGGAACACTATCCAGGGCTCTTACTGCGTGTAATCTTAACAGAAAAAGTTCCAATCAGTCTGTGAATATAGTCATTTATTTGTCTTTACAGTGATGATGGAAGAATGTACAGGGATCTTCTTTCAATAAAGTATAAAAATCTGTTTATATACAGTGAAGTATAATAATCTTTAATTGGGAAACTTATTTGGTACTCCTGATCTGTCTATATTAAAACTGTGGGGGAAACAAATCTCTCACGTTAAGTACTACATTTCCAGTAGACTGCACCTGGCATCAAAGCTCCACTGCTTGATATTATAAAAGACTAATTTTTAAGTCCTAGGATTCAAAATAAACATCATTTGGAATAATAGATATATACATCAAAAATACATCTAGAAAGGCATTGGTTAGTGCTATTAAAAAGCTATGTGCTCAGGTACACTTCTTCTTACAGGTGAAACCCAGTGGAAATGTTTTAATTCTATTTCTAGCAATTTGCTCTTGGGGAAGGTCAGTCGAAAGTTACCTGTGAAGACAAAAGAAAGAACAATGACTTCCTAGGTGAAAGGTCAGAGAGATTCACTAAGAACCCCATCCCTATAGCACTGGTAGAGCACTGAGCTGCAGGCCAGACAGAGATGGCTGAAAACCCTAAGTCACTAGACCCTCCTCATACTCCAGTATTTCATCCTGATTGCTTTTAATACCCAAGTCACTTGCTTACACAATATTTCTTGTCTACAATTAGCTACAAAAAAAAAGAATAAAAAGGAAACTCATAAGGTATATAAGTAAAATATCCCAAAAGACAACAGCCAAACCCAGACATGTTTTTGAGAAAGTTTGATTTAATAATGATATCTTGTACTTCACAATGATTGATTTTACTTCACAGAATTTGTAGATGTGCTTGAGTCTTCCTGACTACCAAAGTAAGGTGATCCCATGCAACTGCAAACTGGACCATTTGTATCTTTGATCACAGCTTCACATTTAAACACATTTGTTTCTGTCATTATCTCCTTTCCCCATCATTCTTCAAATGCTTGATAACCTGGGTTCTTATCTATACTGTAAGACTTAAGTAATACAGAAGACCTCAGTATGCTGCTTAACTAAATAAAACAAATGCATGCCATCCTTGTGTATATAGAATACTAGAAAGAGCACAGCATGAGGAGGCTGTCAGACCTGAGGAAATTAAACCTTAGAAGAGTCAGAGACAATCTGTTATGAGCCACGTGAAATTAGTGAGTCCCACCTCTTATCTAGCTATAAGCTAGAGCCTCATCTATTCTACATATAAGGGTGAACATCTATTCTGGTTGTGTAGCTATGTTCCAGGTTATTAAGGATTTTGAGTGCATAGAGGATAAATGAATAGGTTATGCAAATATAATTTTAATAATTATAAAGTATCCTAAGTATTCCATAAGCTATAAGTTTACTGGCCTAGTCAAACAATGTCTCCTTGAGGTCAGAATATAATATGCATAAGTCTGTCCCTATTGAAAATATCAAAATAACGGTCATTTTTTTAAAGAATTAAAATTCTAACCATTCCTCAATCCTCTGAGAAGATGCCAGCTCCTGTACATGACGTGGAGGGGGGTTGCCTATCAATATGAGCTGTCTGCATGCTGCCCCCCCCCAGAGCACTCTAGAAAGTCATCACCAAGGAAGTGAAGGTCTGCTACATATTAGCTATGCCACTCCTGACCATCCAAGAGTAAATTCTGAAAGAGAAGGAAAATGCCTGACAGAAGAGGTGTGCTACCCCAGACTGCATCTTGATATAACGACATAGAGTGTGGCATGAGAACAAGACCTATGCAGACTCCCTTACTGCTCCAGAGACTCTGGTTAGGGTCACGGACCAAAGGAACATGCTCTACACTTCTCACTCTCTGACAAATATAATACACGCTGAACGAACTCATCAGATTCCCACAGTGCATCCTTCCTGCTTGTAAAACAAAGTCTAAAATGTCAACACAGTGTCTTCCTGTTCTCAGTGAGAAAATAAAGGGCTTAAAATAAGACTGAGCCAGACTCTCCCAGTAAGGAAATACTTAAATAGGACTGATGTGGATCTAAACCATCTGTATGACCAGGAAATTACGTGGTGGATGGTACTGCCCTCACTGCACATGGAAACAGTAGGCATTATGTTTACTCCTTGGTCTCGTGTCATTGTGGTATAGGACACTATTAAAGTAAAAAAAGGCACCCAAGGAAAGGGAAGATGATGCCAACAATTAACCACAATCTTCTCTCCACTCCTGACCTGTGCTCTGCTCCTCTACCAAACAGGACTCTCACGCGGCAGCTCACGTGAAAACCTCATTCTCCCTTCTGCTCTCTCAAGCTCACTCCCAACCAGCCACCAGGAAGCTGATTCTACCACACCTCAGATCTACCCCTTCCTGCTCATCTCCTGCCACCTTGAGAAAGCCACCACTGTCCCTTACTAGACTACACTGCAACATTCCAACTGGTCCCTGCCTCAACGCCTTCTCTACTCCATGGCAAAAAAGCAAATCTGATCATACTACTCACCGTCTGTAAGACTATGAGCAAGCTGAAAGTCTGCACTGTGACACCCAGGCCTTCCTGATTGGGCCTGCTGCCCACACAATCCCCACTGCTCCCTAGGCAACAGGAACACTACATTCCCACCTCCCATCCTTTCCAGGAAGAAAGCAGCAGCTTTCTGCTGTCCCCTCTAACATCTCTCTGCTGACGCCTCTAAGCAAGCCACTTTCCACCTGTGCTCTGCTTGACTCAATTCAACTCATCTTTCAGGACCAAGGTAAACATCCCTTCCTCAGGGGAGCCTTGTCCACCCTTTGTATCATGTTCTGCTCTGTGGTCTCTCCTCTCAGAGTTGGTTTCTGAGGGGAAAAGCCATGGGTATATGTGTGGTAGAAAGCACAACAAATCTTGCCAAGACACACATACACACACACACACACACACACACGAACTCACAGTTGCATCTTTAAGGTAAAGTTGTGTTATACTTGTCAATGCTCTTCTCGTTCTCTATCTAATGGACAGTATGAAGCATCTACTAATGGTATGATTCTACTTATCTTATTGCCATAGTTCTAAGGAGGGTGTGGTGTCCCCCCAGAAGGCAAACAAGTCAGCCACTCCTCCCTATCAAGGGACCTTTTCTCCTTCCTCTGCTTTCTTTCAGGACACCCTAGCCATTTTTTTTAAATATCGATTAAAACCATATGAAGTAGGCCAAAGAATACCTTCTTAGGTAGGTAGCTACTGCATCAAGAATGTCCTCCTGGAATTAGGAGAGACATGATAGGCGGCAAGGCTCACCTGATCATATTCTTACGCCTCATCTCCACTGTCCATGTCAATGTCTACTTCTTCCGTGTCCGCAGCCCGGGACAGGATGTCCGCCATCAGTGCTTCCTCCAGTTTCTTGCGTACTTGTTGGACTCTTTCTTCCTGTTTCCTTTTCAAAAACAGAAGGAAATGAAACTAAAAATTCAGTAAGTAACAAAAATGAAACTACCCTGACAGCCAAACTCCCTCAAGGACCACATAGAAAGGCACACTTCCTTCTCCTCAGGCTTCCCAAATGCCACTCCACACAGAAACCAGACAGTGCTAACTCTCACAAGAAAGCAAATTACCGGTGGGCTGCTCAACAGTGGCAACCTCTTGTCTCAAGAGATTCTGGAAGGAATACATGAACTCAAGTGGCCTTTTCCTCAACTTCAAGAATTTCAAGTATGTAAGAGTTGGGGTTATAACTTAAAAAATAAGTAGAAATAAAGTGGAAGTAAGGATGAGGGAGATAGCCTGGAAGAGGCAAGGAAACAACTTAGTAGGTGAAGTCTCAATAGAGAGATGTGTTGAGGCTTGCCCTGGCAGTCTGTGGCTGAGACAGGACAGAGGAGTACTGTGAGACCAGATCAGCAAAGCAGAGCCAGGACCCCTGAAGCCCATCACCTGAGGATAAAGACCGGAACTATCTATCCAACTGAGATGAGCCAAGTAGGCGAGACCAGACCATGAGCTTCTCCAGCTTGCTGACAACAGGGTGACATCAAAAGTGGCAGTGATTCTACACCATAAAGAATGCTCTAAATCATTAGATGAAAAACAAAACCAAGGATAAAGAGGCTACTGGAATGTTCTACAGCTCTGTGAAGCACAGGGGAAAAGATGAGACCAGCTCCCTGAAAAAGCAAGGGCAAATGAACATACAGAAGCAAGCCAGGAGGCCAGAGCAAGAAATAAAAAGACAAGGAAGAGGACAGTGGGTTAGCCCCACACAGAACAGTCAAAACCTGGTGTGTGAGTCGACAGATGATGATCAGAATCCATGCAGAGCAGGTGAAGGAGCCACAATAACAAGGAAAATTTAGGGCTGTACAGAAAAAAAAAGTGCAATTTCTTCCCAATAGGGCAAACAGACTACAGCACTGCCCAAACCCAAGATACCAGGCAAGTAGAGGAAGCATGTCCTAGGACTCCATTAGATCCCTGGGAGACTGGCCAGCTGTAGAGTTCCTTTTGTTCTAAAACCCTGGAGTAAATGACACTATGTCCAAGGTAAGGAATGTAATAGGCACCATGCAGCCACAAAACACTTTATCATTTCTTTATTAAAAGAAATAGCACAAAGAATTGCTAACAGACTTCCAGTTCCTAAATGGGGATTAAATTGACAGGAAGGAAGCAGTACACTGTCAGTCTGACCTCTGACCTCTACAGTCTACAGTTAAACACCTGTCCATGTAATGGAGCAGGGTACAGAAGAAGACACGTATCAGTCACATTGGCAGGCTCACCACTAATGTCAGATCACAAGAGGCACAGATGCTGGGAATGACCCATCAGGAAGGGGACACACTGCACCTTTGTAAAGATGTCTAGTGTGAGCTCTAATGTCTATCAATGAGTCTCTTTTCCTTTGAAAATGACTTCTTGCCTTTATGCAACAAACGTGCTTGCTGTTGGAGAAGACCAAATTCTATGATGTTCTCCACGACTCCGCCACATCCAATATATACTCCTTGTACAATTTCCCCCAGGAAGAGTGGATGACACTGGTACAGATGGTGGAATATTGCTCTATAATTAGTTACTAATCATAGAATCCTTAATTCATCACAAGGAAGCTGATTCTAGTGAACCTAGCCAGTAAGAAGTGTGCTGAGAGAACAATGTGAGGTTGTACAGAGAAGCCAAGTGGGAACTGGAGGTCAGGAGTGGGGACCACAGGTCAGTAGAGGGGACCACAGGTCAGTAGAAGGGTCTGCAGGTCAGTGGTGGGGACTGCCGGTCAGTGGTGGGGACTGCCGGTCAGTAGTGGGGACTGCAGGTCAGTAGAAGGGACCACAGGTCAGTAGAAGGGACCACAGATCAGTAGAAGGGACCACAGGTCAGTAGAGTGGACCACAGGTCAGTGGTGGGGACTACAGGTCAGTGGTGGGGACTACAGTGAGGAGTAGGGACCACAGGTCAGTAGAGGGGACCGCAGGTCACCTTCGAGAGTATAGAACAGCCCTTGTTCAGCAGTCAAGAATAAAACAGGGGTCTTAGCTCTGCAGCACACAGTGAATTTCTTATCAAGTGTCTATACTTAGAAAAAGACTCCCATGTTCCAGAAGTTAAGATGGTCCAGAGTTCACTGACTTCAGCCTAGTGGGGCTAAGTAGAGTCCAGGCCGTCAAATCACAGACTGCAAGCTTATAAACAACTTAGGCTACAATTTATGGGACTGTCACTAAATATCAGAAAACAATTATACCCATGAATGAAAATATTATCAAGTATGTTAAAGAGATAAACTTAATGATGAAATTTTTAGCCAAAGGCTCACTTGGGAAGTACATACACCACAGCTAGAATAACAGAGAGGATCAGCAGGCCCTGGGCAAGAATGAGATCTTTAGTTAGAAGCTTTGCAGAAGCAAAGGCCGGCTCCAGTCAGAGGAAGCGCAGCAGTTCCCCTCAGAGTCCCCTGTGAACCTGTGCCAACTCAACAAGCAATGCTGCCTGGTGACTCCTGCCATGCCGGCTCATCACATGAGCAGTCTGTGAGACAATCAATCTAAATCCAGGGTGGGTCTGAGATCATTCTATCAACAGGCCTAGTATCGAAGCCACTGGCATTCCCAGTACCCTAGTCTAAGCCCATGTGACTTGTGAAAATCCTGTTCACTGTCTCTGTGCTCATACCAAGAAGGAAACAGCCTTGTTCCCCAGGTGATTATCTTCCTCAAGGTCACAATGATCCACAAAGCAACCTCATCTCTTGCTTTGATATTTATATTTTGTTTTTATAAATTCTTCAAAAATAAAGTTGACTTCAAATACTAGGAAATGAAAGCATCTGAATACAACCTTGAACTGTTTCTATCTTTTCAAAAGAGATTATTTTAGAGCCTGAGAAGGGTTTTCCAATTATAAATCTAGCTAGATTCATACATTCAGAAACATTTCCATATCAACTCTTTATAGATTTAGATGAAAACAAAAACAAATAGAAAACTATTTTAAATTGGATGTTTTCAAACTGCCATCTGCTGGTTTCATCTAGGAATGGTACTCCAGAAAAACTCCGATTCAATTAGAAACCGTGAAGAACACATACAAACTGCCATGTTTTCAAAGACAAAGCAATGTTCTCAAGTACCATTATCATCACCACAGAGTAATGGCGCCAAAGTTCAAAGGTGCCAGAAAGGAATTTCCTGGTGATCTCACGATTCAATGTGTTACTTCTCTGAAATAATAGTTTGCTTATACTTCAGGATGCTGTCAGTCTGAGCCGGATTTTCCTTTCACTGTTACTGCTAAGCACCTGCTCTGTGGCCCAGCCTTAGAAAGAATGAAAGACCTTCACAGATGTAACTATGTCCTCTTTTATTCCTGACTGATTACCTCTTTGCTCTGTTTTCCTCGGTTGCTTCCTATCTTGCTCTACTGTATGAGTATGTGTGTATATACATGTGCATGCATGGATGCATGTGTGTGCACGTGTTCATGTGTGTGTGTTGTGGGGTACATGTGAATGTATGAGTGTGTTCATGGATGGGTTGTGTCTCTCCAACTCTTTTGAATCTTTACATGTAACAAAACAGATATAAATAAACCTCTAAACTGAGTTTGAGTAAAATAAATAAACTCATGATAAGTAAACTGAATTTAAAATGCAACTGAGCCTTAAGACAGCAAGGCTGTCTGTCACCTTCTTTAAAGAAAGGTTGACAGAGCTCCCAGGGTCTAAGCTACCACCCTGGGAGCACTTAGGGAGGGATCCATGGCTCCAGCTGTAAATGTAAGGGAGGATGGCCCTGTTGGGCATAGGTGGGAGAAGAGATCCTTGGTCTCATGAAGGCTGGATGCCCCAGTGGGTAGGAATTTGAGGGTGGGGAGGTGGGAGTGGAGGGGTAGGTGGGGGCACATTCGCAGAGAAGCAGGAGGAGAAGTGATGGGATGGGGGTATTTTGGGCAGAGGGGGGAATGGGGTAAGGGGATAACATATGAAATGTAAATAAAACATCCAATAAAAAAATTAATTCAAAAAAAAAAAGAAAGAAAGGTTGGTTTGCGGACAAACGTATGCAGGAAGAATCACAAAGACATGGAAAAAGGGTTAATGGTGTGGTTTGGGGATAGAATGCTTGCCTTGAACGCTAGAGGCCTGGGTTTCAACTTCAAGCACTACAAAGGCAAACCAAAACTAAAAAGAAACTGCATAAAAGGCCCATGGATGAAGGGGGCTCATTAGAGCAGAGCTACAGAGGCACACACTGTGACTGCTGCATTGAGAATATGACTAATCAGAGGCACACACTGTGACTGCTGCATTGAGAATATGACTAATCAGGTGATGACATGCCTGTGATGGTCACTCTGAAACAAAGCTTATTTCCTAGAGTATTTTCCTTACCAGATCTTTATCACATTCCATGCATTTCACAAAAGCTCTGCATCTTAGTTCTATTGCTGTGTGAAACATCATGACCAAAAGCAACTTGGGGACAACGAGGTTTATTTTGCTTACATTTTCATATCACAGTTCCTTATCAGAGGACGTCTGGGCTGGAACTCATCAAGTATGTCAAGAGTCTGGAGGCAGGAGCTGTTCAGAGGCCGAGGAGGGTGCTGCATACTGGCTTGCCCTCATGGCTTGCTCATTCTGCTTTCCTATAGCACCCAGGACCTCCAGCCCAGAGATAGCACTGCCCACAGTGAGCTGAGCAGTCACTGCTCTTGCAGGCCTATCTACAGCCCGATCTTATGGTGGCAATTGATCGATTCAGAGTTCATTCTCTTAGATGACTCTACCTGTGGCATAAAGCTAACCCAGACACCTGTAATACTCAAAAGATGATCTCTGACAAATTCATCCCTTATAGATGGGGTTTCCCCCTCTGCTTTGGGGGGATTTGTATGTATACAAAAATGTCTTGTCTATGGGTAAGGCTGACAAATTCATCCCTTATAGATAGGGGCTACCCACCCCCTGTCTTGGGGGATTTGTTTGCATATAGATAAAAATGTCTTGTCTATGGGACCATAATTAATCCTTTATAGATGGGGTTCTCCCCTTTCGGGGGATTTGTATACATACAGACAAAGATGTCTTCTCTATGGGACGTCAGGCTGAATATAAGTTCACTCAGGCTTCACATACTCTTTCTGCGCTCAGTGTGAAGGTAATTTCCACAGCATTTTTAATAGCTCAGCACATGAAGCAAAGTTTTATGGCTTCAGGCTGTTCACTTACGGTGTCATATCAGACCTCAAAAGGGTTCAGGTGTTGAAAGTAGTGTTAAGTTTTGAATACAAGATGATCAACTGTATTAGCTGTGGCATTGAACCTAATGGCTTTCATTAAAAAAAAAAAAAATCATCTACAGGCAAAACTGAGGTATTTAAGATTATGTTAAAATAGCTTACCTAATGTCTTCATCTGTAACAATGAAAGCCTTGCAGAGGGGTTGAGATGTGTTGAGCCAAACAGCGGGGTTCTTTTCCACAGCTGCAGAGACTTGTCCTGTGATAGGTGCAGAGCTTGTATGCAAAGCACTGGCCACAGCAGATAGAAGGGTCTCATCATTACTACCTGGACCGACTCCTACAAAGGAGAAAGCAATGCTGTTAAGAGGAAACCACTCCTGAGCAAGTGGGCCTGCCACTACCTAAAATAGCCAGTACATTTCTGCTCACTTAGGATCATACAAGTAAACCCACTAAAGCAACAAAGAACAAGTCACATCCATGCACTAGCTACTGCACACCAAAGGACTGAAAAGAAACAGTGACAGAACAGTTAAGGACTTTAGACAAAACCTTAACTTTAAAATATATTTCTTAAAGCCCAAACTTTTGAAACTTTATGTTCATTTTCTCAAGAAAGGTCAACTATTTATATAATTTAAGATCCTGTAAGATCACTTTGCTATACTCAAGTGTATCTGTTAACATAACATAGATTGGTTTCTTCCTATTTAGCTGTTAATAACAGTTTCCAATCTCTAGGCTTATCATCTATATTCCGAGATGTCAGGGAAGGTCAGTGGCGGTATGGCATGCCCAGAACTTAGTTGTCACTCTCAAATGAGCCAGATTCCTCTTAGTAACCCAAGCACAGCCTCACAATTGTGGGCTCCAGCCACAGCAAAACTGAAGTGATCCAACCAAATTGATTTAAAGCAATGATGGCTAAGAACACACAAGTATAAGATAACACCCAACTGTACACGTGGAAGATTTCTGAGAAATCCACACAAAGTCAATATTGAGGACTGAAATTCTAATACTTGAAAAATGCTGTAACTCTTGAAGAAGGCATAACCACATAAGAGCAGCAGTCTATAGAAAAGCAGGAGAGCTTAAAGTTGTTATTTCAGTGCAAAAAGAGAAAGAAACTGCTGGGGTGAGATGCTGCTGTAAGCGAGAAACATGGAAACCCCTTTGTTCATCTGCAGGCAGTGCTGAAGAAGCATATGGGTTAAAGATCACAAGGCTAGGTGAGAGCCAAACATCCACATAGAAGAAAAAGAAAAGTTAAGGCTGACACACTATACAGAAGTATTGTCATGACACATGTCTGCCATGTATGTTTTCCCTCGTTTTATAGCATCAGAGGCATGCCATCCATCAAAGCACATGGTGCCCCAAAGCAAAGGCCTGTTAGTATTGGTCAATTACAAATGCACAATATCTAAGGACAGTACCTGGCACACAGTAGGTACTTAGCAAATATCTATTCAACTCAATGTAGATGATACCTTGAAGACCTTTAGGTAGCTCCATGGTTTTTATAATTTGCTCTGTTACATCTGATGCGCTAAGTCCTTGTAGCCTCTTCTCCCAGAAAAGCTGTAAGGCAAAAAATACCACTGTTACCATGTGTTTCTGAGACAAGGGAGTAGCCCAGCTGGCGGTGCTGCTGAGTAATGACATCAGTTCAATGGTCTCCTACTGTGCTCTGATTCTTTCCTCAGAGCATGCTAGATAAAATGCCAAACAAGAATTCTTACAACACATGATAACATGACATTACTCAAAAGGTGTTTTGATTTACCAAACTCAATTGCTTCAATACTATAGACTGTTGTGTTTTATAAATTACACATAATTGCTCATAAGGTATAATTTGAATTTTTAAAGATTGATTTAGTATAAAATCCCAATGTTAAAATTTATCAAAGAAAGAAAAAAATAAGTGAAATCTTTACAAAAACATGGTTTTTCTAAGACATTTATATGTTTAGCCTTTCAGTACACTTTAGGGGATAAACACTATATTTACTGTTGATAGAAAGTTTTCCAAAGCATCTTAATACCAGTGATGAATCACTTTCTCTCTGTTGCACAGTCCCTGGATCACTCACTCACTCAGTGGCCCCTGCCTCAGAGAGCTACGGAGGCATACATTTAGCTCTCGAACAGCAATGAACACTTTTACTTTATATGCTTTTCAGATGCAGTCTTTCTTTCTCCCAGACAACTATCCTGGCTCGCTGAGTATGTGCTTCCACGCAGCATCTTCTAAGTCCCTACAACACACTTTCTTTGTCTGGTGCACAATCAACAATGGTCCTACTTCTGTTTCTTTTTAACCTACATCTTATTTACTGTTGACAAAGAAGAAACAAAGGCTTCCCTAGAACTCTTCCTTTGTTTAATCCTAGATAAGAGGACCTGTTGCAGAGGTGGTGCTGAGACAATATGTAACTTGTAGCCAGGGAAGCGACAGAACTGAGCTTGAGGAAGACCTATGAGTGCCTGTGGAAACTCCAGCTCTACTGCCTGTGACATGAACAGCCTTGGTCATGTTTTACCTCTTCCATAGCTTTACCTCTCCTTACAGATGAGGGAGCGGTGGCTGCCACACAAGACAGCTGTGTAGAGTGAGGTGACACAGGTCAAGTGCCTACCACACAGTAGTCTTAAACGTACTGTACTTACTTTTAGCAGGTTTGAGTTACTTTTAGGGCCTTGGGGAGCTTAGTGTGTAAAGTATCAGATAACCACCTATCAGACACATGAGAAGATATGGTAGTCTAATTCTCCTGTGGCAGAATAATAGTATGTTGTATTTATAACCTCAAACCTGTCACCAAGAAAAATTTCCAACAAAGTACTCCAAAGACTTTTGTAGATATAGCTAGTATAGTTACATGTATTCTCTCTTCCTACAAAGTAATACCAATAAGTAGTCAATATAAGTAGGTCAATCAATACTAGGAAGATGGAGGTAGGTTAATTGAGAGTTCACTCTAAGTATGGTGATTATCATAAGCATCCTGAGAAATCCTTTCTGCATTCTGTTTACTTCCTGGTAGTAAAATATTATCTTTGTTTTGAATACCACAGCTATTATTTTTAATAATGAAGGGAAATAAAATCCAGTTAAATTCCTAATTAATATATGCAGAATTCAGAGCTGGGATGATGACTGTCAGTCAAGTGCTTGCCTTGCAATAGTGAGGACCTGAGCAATCCAAAAAATCAAAGTATAGTACCAGGCAGGGGGCACAGTCCAAGCAGGGGACACAGGACTGGAATCCCAGCACTGTGGCAGAAGAGAGAGAGATAGATCCCTGGGGTTTGCTGCCAAGCCAGCCAGCTTAGCCTAACTACTGAGATAGACCATTAAAGATAGAAAATCTGTATCAAAGGAGGTAGATAGCATTCATGAGGGTAACAGCTCAGGTTGTTGTCACACACACACACACACACACACACACAAACACAAACAAAATATAGATATAGAACCCAAAGTTATGTGTGTTTATGTTATATACATGGCTATGTATGTATGCATGTAGGCATCCCACTGTCTTGCAAGTTCATATTCATTGTTCAGCTTACTACAGAAAACTGCTATGTACTAGACATGTTCAAACATCTTGCAATTTTCTAAACAAACAGTATACTAACAATTTACATAGTGGTCACATCAGAGTAGATGTTATAAGTAACCCAGGTAAAACCTAAAGGCTAGAGGAAGATGTGAATATGTTGGCACAATTACACGGGAGGCTTCAGTATCTTTTGGGTCTGGATATCAGTAAGTGGTCCTAGAACCAAGCTCATGAGGAAGAAATGACTCTATACTATGACTTAATTTGTAAAGATAAAACATAAGTACCAAAAACTAAAAGTATGGGGATTATGGGTGGGTATGATTGCCAGTAGTTTACATGAAAACTCTATTTCCAGAATTAAGAGATGATTTTGAACCTATCGACTTTAATGTTTAACTTTAAAAGTTGTCAATCAAAAGAAAAAATACACGAAAAGTTAGAAGACAATCATACAAAATATCAGATTGAAATATCGGTACATAGCTGTAGACTTTTATCAGTCACTGCCACTGCAGACAGCTCCCCAGACTATGATCTGATCTCACTAACCTGGGTTTACAACTCAGTCCTAGGGAGAGAACACAGGAGGGAAAGTCTTTTGCCTTAATGTTTCTCAAGTTCCTCTTGAAGACTCGGTCTTTACCAGAATTAGATTACATTCATCTGGAAGTCTTCCCCCGCCAGCTTATGTCCAATGACAATAACAGGCTAAGTGCAAGTCTTTCTGAATGTGAAGTGGCCTAGCTTCCTCTCTGTGCTGTGATAAACTCACTGACAAAAGCAGCTTGAAGGGAGAGACAGTTATTTAGCCTACAATTATTTACAGTAATTTAGCCTAAGTCACAGTCCCTCATTTCAGGGAAAGTCAAGGCAGGGACGTGAAACAGACACACACACACACACACACACACACGCGCCACATACACACACACACACTCACACACACACACTCACACACTGAAGAACAGAGAGGGAATGGATGCATATATACCCGTGTGATTTAGCTTGCTTTCTCCACTCTTAATATAGTTCAGGACCGCCAAGCCAAGGGAATGGTACTGCCCACAAAGAGCTGCATCCTCCCACATCAGTTACACAATCAAACTAGATATGTACACAAAAGGATCTAGAAAACCAGATCAGATTATTGTTCCTGAAGACTCTCTTCCCCAATGATTCTAGATTGTTTCACATCAGCAACACTATCACAGGAGCCCCATTTTACCACAGCTACCTTGTCTCTCCCAGCACCTTTTGTAAACACCATCACTGTCCTCAATTCTAACATGAAAATGAGATTCTATTTGCCTAATTCAATTATGTCCTCAATTCGGTCTTGCTCTGACATCAAATGTCCAATAAATATAATACTTAAAGAAACACTGATTTAATAAATGGATCAAGTCCCAAAATCAATGCATAATCACCTTGGGTTACTACGTATGTTTCTAATCCTTACCAACAAAATCCTCTAACTGCCTCTAAGTTCTTCTTATTACCATCCAGAATACTAGAAAAAAATCAGAAAGCTCCCACAGGAACACTGTCTTCTATTGCCAAAAGCCTCAGCAATGGCCTGTCAAGTAAACCAACTAGCTGTCAGAGAAACACTGGATGGGAGTAAGCATCATGGAAACCCCCCAAGTACCTAAACTGTCCTCAAAGGGCAATGCTATCTCTGGGGAAAGCATTTCAGTCACGCCAGGCCTGTGACTCACTGTGCCATCTTCTCTCTCTGTTCTTGGTTTGGTACACACATTCAAGCATTAGTGAGGCACAGCTGCCTGCACTTTACCTACCCTGGCCTCCCAGAGGGGCAAACATTACGGTGTGTACAAAAGCTACTGCTTTCGTGAGATGTGCCACCAAATAAGTTTACTGAAAGTAAAACTAATTCAAAATCCAAATGTAGAGTTTTTACTTCTTAACTGCTGAGGTTTGGTTTGGCTTGGGCTGTGGTTAGTTTGTCTTCTGAAGAGCATCAAGAAGATGAGGAAGAAACAGGGACCACAAGAAAAGTCACAAGCATGCAATTCTGGAGCCCCAGAAACTAAGTTGCTAGAATGTTTACATCATACCCCTTCATCACCCTGAGTACATAACTCATACTCTCAACAGATTGGTACTCTTTGAGAAAGTCACACATGGGGAGCAGATGAGCCTTGAATGAATGAGTACTGACATGAGCATGACCATGTCAAGAACTCCAGCATCTCAGATCCCTGCGACCATCAAGGCTTCCCCCCCCCCCCCCCGGGCAGGATCAGGGGAATGGCAAGGCCGTCCACTGGTTCAAATACCAATGTTGACAGTGTTTGCAGAAAGTATCAACCACAGCTTCACCTGTTCAGATGCCTGCAGCCTAACACTGCTAAACAGATTCACGTCCCCCCACCCCCACCCCCACACCAAGATTAGCTAACCCACCTCCTCATTCAGATCTATATGATAAACACTCACTTTCTGGGCTGCTGTTGTTTCCATCACACACACACACCATGCCAGCCTTCCTGCAAACGTCTGTTGTTTTTTCAGTTCTGGTTGCCCCAAACAGGTAAGTCCCAAAGCTGTGCAGGTTGTAGCACAGAAGGTGAGTTTACAAGGAAAAGGTAATCCGAGAAGCAAGCCCAGCTCGGGAAGTATTCTTTGAGCACCCATCCCATGCACTACATTTTGGTGGGTACTGGGGTGTTCATGTACTGCAAAGAAGCTCTGTTTGGTGAAAACAAACAAAGCAAGGGCGACCACAGAGACCGTAATCATGCTGACAAAAATATTAACCTCAACGTTAGAGAAGGGTTTTAAGAGGTAGCTCTAGAAAACGTACAGGAATGATCTACAGGCAAACAGAAAGAGAGAGCAATGTCTTCCCAAGGAAACAGCATGAGCAGTCACCAGCACTGCTCAGTAGTCTTACACAGAGCAGCCAAAGTGGCTTATTCCAGATCTAGGTCCTAAAGCCAGACCCTCAGCAACTCCATCTCCATAGCACTGGTTCACTAACTA